GTGGCGACTTTTACTAAAGAGGGAATGTTTTATCTCCAAACATTAATTCAGCTGTTTTAGCCAGGCAGAAACAGGAAGTATAAATATGTTTGAAATATTTTAGGAGGGGCTGCAGGGTGGCGCAGTTGGTAGCACTGTTGCCTCGCAGCAAGAAGGTCGCCGGTTCGCGTCCCAGTGGGGGCACCGGAATCTTTCTGCGTGGAGTCTCCATGTTCTCCCAAAAAACATCCAAAAACATGCTGAGGTTAATTGGTGATTCTAAATTGTCCGTAGGTGTGAATATGAGTGTGCTTGGTTGTCTGTCTCTAAGTGTAGCCCTGGTGACCTGAATCCACTGGGATAGGCTCCAGCCCCCCAGAGACCCTAGTGAGGATTAAGCGGTGTATGGATAGGATGGATATTTTAGGAGACTTTAAGTTAACTTCTATGTTGTGAACTTCTATGTACACACACACCTCACATCACTGTCAGCGGTAAACAGGCTGATTATGCAGCGTCTCCTTTACTGTGCAAATGATGCAGCCAAATTCCCTGTGTGTCCAAGGTGCCTCTGGTGGTGTTCAAACGGGAGAAGGAGATAGCGAGGAAGTTGGAGTTTGCCGGCCTCTACATCACCGAGCAGCCGTCTGATGACGACATTAAAGGACAGTGGGACAGGCTGGTCATCAACACTCCGTGAGTCATCCGCAGTTATTAAACTCCAACTCATAATCTTCTGCAAACAAAGGTTTATGGCTGATTTGGGGTTTTTTTGATGTTTTTTTTTATCAGTTCCTTCCCCAACAACTACTGGGATAAATTTGTCAAACGTAAAGTAAGTAGCTTATTCAGTTTTTTTTTGTTTTGTTTAATCTGTCGTGCACACAAGCTGTAAATCAAATCTAGTTCTACTGACTAAATGTCACCACCAATGTCATCCTGGCTTCTGTGTGGCTGCTGTCTGTAGGTGATTAAAAAGTACGGAGACCTGTACGGAGCGGAGAGGATAGCAGAGCTGCTGGGGTTGGACAAGAGTGCCCTGGATTTCAACCCTACAGAGGAAACTGTTGCCAAGGAGGCTTCGCTGGTGTCATGGTGAGAGATTAGACCGATAAATAGCGAGCGAGCCAGAAGCGCTCCAAGCAAAAATAGAGGTCAAATGGAAAATACGAGCCCTTCATATCAACTACTCTCCGTTGCCAGGTTGAGCTCGATCGATACAAAGTACCACGTCTGGAAGATGGGGGTGGTGTTTACAGACAACGTAAGTTTGAGCACCAGTTGGGGGTGATTAATTACTCTGCTTTGCGGTTTCATGGATGGCTGATTGAATGACGTGGGCGATGAGGGAGTTGATGGATGACATTACGACAAGAGAGATGGATTCTGATTAATTTTGTCCCTCCGCCAGTCGTTCCTGTATCTCGTCTGGTACACCACCATGTCCATCCTGGGTCACTACAACAACTTCTTCTTTGCCGCCCATCTGCTGGACATCGCCATGGGCTTCAAGACCCTCCGGACCATCCTCTCCTCCGTCACGCACAACGGCAAACAGGTGAGGAGGAGCGGGAACGGGGTGCAGGGCTGCTTCTCGACAGCGGGGGTCACTGCAGAGTCAGCGGCTGAGGTTGGGATGAAACCGTGGCCTGTCGATTCCCTGACGTGCGGCACAGATTTATCGTGTCCCTGCTCCGCTGATGACATTTTGGGTGTGCCATTCAAAATCTTGTTTGCTTTTGTACCTGTGAGAAATGATACAACGCCAGTGTCAAGATTGTTTTCAGCTTTGCCAAATAGAAATATTAAATAACAGAGTCGATTAAATTTGATTTGGGTTTAAATGGCAGAGAATAATCTAATCATGAGCTGTTGTCTGTGATGCACAACTGGGATTTTGAACAGAATCAGAGGAAAGGAAATAAAAATGCTTCATCAGAATCCTGGAACCATTTATGTTCATTAACCTGAAGCTACTCTGAGCATTTTTAATCACCAAAATAGCCAACATATTAACAAACTGCAACCTATTTGCTGTCATCTGACTAAGCCTACACATCTTTTAAGTCTTAATTTGTTGACTTACCTCTAAGAGAAACTATCCGATTCTTTACACAGCCGACATGTGACGCTGTCATCTCGTAAACGTGTCGTCTCAATTCTCGTATCTTTGCATCCGAAGAGGTGCAAGTGAAGGAAGCGAGGATGCGAAAATCGACTCAGTACCCTTTGACATTTCGGCTCAAACGGCTCAAACGCCTTCATTTAAATCCCATTTCGGACTGTCACTTCCTGCAACGATTCTCACGTCAACTGACCAGAGGCACGAGTCAAAATTTAATGTCACCTCAGTCTCCGAGGGTGGAAACGCACCAAAGTGGCAAGGCCGCAAGGAATCGCCGACACCTCCCGCACCCCGCCGCCTGTGGGCAGATCAATCGTGCTGCCAATCCAAATGCAGTTTATCGCTGCCTCCGACTGCTGCTGCCTTTCAGGTTCTTACGCGTCAGAATTAGATGTTTGCTGTAAAATAATAGACCACGGTGTGTATTTCTTCACTCTAAATGACAAAGTGACGTGTGAGACCGGTTTACCAATCCATTCCACGCATTTGAACTTTTCACTTCTCCCAGCCTGCTCTTTTCTCGCCACCGGCAATCCCATCATATGCCTCGTGAGGGTTTTGCTGGGTTTTTTTTTTTAATAGAAAACAAACGGGAGCCAGCAGCTCTGCTCCTGCTGTGTCCACTGTGCTTCCACCGAAATAGAAAGCAGTTGTGTAAAGACTGATTTACCGACTGCTCTCTGTGTTCCCGTGCAGCTGGTGTTGACAGTGGGCCTGCTGGCAGTGGTGGTCTATCTCTACACTGTGGTGGCCTTCAACTTCTTCAGGAAGTTCTACAACAAGAGCGAGGACGAAGACGAGCCGGACATGAAGTGCGACGACATGATGACGGTAAACAGAAGTCGCGTATATTTTTTTAAGTGGTGTTATAGACCCGATTCTTTAGTTGGAAGCCCAAGAACAAGCCGGCGAAATCTTCAGTTGTAGAATTTATTTATTTCAGTCACAGGTAAAGTGAGGCAGCGCTGGGTTCAGAGGGACAGAGAGGAATCTCATGTCCAGCTGAACTGAGGTTTTTCGGTTCCAGGTTACAGATATCTTCTTGGGCCTGCCCCGAACATAGATAAGATTTGTACGCTCCCGAGTTCAATTGGCCAGTTACCAATGGTGTGGACAGACATACCTCTTCTGTCCACGTCCTTGATATTTGGTAAGCAACATGTGTAGATGTTGTTGGTACGGCGTGTAGCTGAAGTAACGATCCTATCTGATAGAATAGAGGAGTTTCCGCTGTCTCCAAGTGTGTGAACCGGATCTCACATTATCTTCAAGGACTGTTCTCAGTAGGAAAACACGAAACAGAATCATAGGCTCAGTGCAAAATACAGATTCAGAATACATAATAGCTCGAAACATGCTTAATTACAGTTTGTTATTCTTGTTCCCACAGTGCTACCTGTTCCACATGTACGTCGGGGTGAGAGCAGGAGGAGGCATCGGGGACGAGATCGAGGACCCGGCCGGTGACCCCTATGAGCTCTACCGCATCCTTTTCGACATCACCTTCTTCTTCTTCGTTATCGTCATCCTCCTGGCCATCATCCAGGGTACGTTCACGCTGTGCGCACGCATATCTTAGCGGCCCAAAAGTTCTCGTCGATAAAACTTCCTCTATCAGAATTTAAAATGAAGCGAGCTGCCTGCTGTTTGGCCTGAGCAAATTACCGCAAATGCAAAGATGCTGACTCCTCGCAGACTTTGAAATCCTCTGCATCACAGTAGTAGATCCACGTTACACTCCTTACTACATCCGCAGGACGTCAGGACACCGTATACAGTTAGATACGGTATACGTGATATGCTCAGAGCAGCGTCTTTGTGGTTGCAGGTTTGATCATTGATGCCTTCGGGGAGCTGAGAGACCAGCAGGAACAAGTCAAAGAGGACATGGAGGTGAGCGGATAATTCATTCTCACCTGCACATATCTGTTTAGTGCTGGAACGGGGGTCCAGAGGCAGCAGGAGTTAAATGAAGATAGGGGGTTTGTCCTCGAAAGGAAACAGGAAAAAGTGGATTATGGTGACTTTTATGCATATCTGTTGCTTATTTATAACAGTGTGCTTGTTTTAAATTGCAGTAATAAACATAGTCCTGGACAGGTAACAGATATTCCCTTAAGTTGTGAGGACCTTTACTTACCTTTATTTCTAATTCCCTCAGTTTGATAAGCATATTTGGTCAAATCTTAACATGAAGCCTCCTTTTGATCCGCCCCTTATTTACCCTGTTAAAGTTTCTGCATTACGCTGTTAACGCAAACTCAGCTTTTCTTCAATTTCCAATTAGAAGCCCTCTAACATTTAGGATTTTTCTTTGATGAAATGCGGTATCCCTTAATTCAGGGGTGTCCAATCCTGGTCCTCGAGGGCCACAATCCTACATGTTTTAGATGTTTCTCTCTTCCAACACACCTGATTCAAACAATCAGGATGGTTATCAGGCTTCTGCAGAGCTTGATGATGAGCTGATCATTTGAATCAGGTGTGTTGGAAGAAGGGAAACATCTAAAACATGCAGGACTGTGGCCCTCAAGGACCAGGATTGCCCACCCCTGCCTTAATTCCTTCCTTTTCGTCTTTAGTTTAGGTACGTGGCACACTTTGTTGCACGAACTCTCCGTCTCACTTGAGTCTTTAAACAATCAGCCAGGCCCAATTCTGATCACTTTCGGTCCGTGTTTATCGCTGAAGAAATTGCGCTGACGTGGGAAAATAAATATTTAGTCTACAGATAGAGTGGATGAAGCGTAATTCTGGAGGATTACATGAGAATTTACGACCTGAGACTCCAAAAGAGGGCTGAGTTTGCCGCTCTCACTCAGCCCGGATACCCCCCGGTGACATCGTCTGGGGTTGTTTTCTCGGGAAAGATCCCCTTTAAAGACACAGATTACAGGCTGAGCTGAAATAGCCATTTATGTGTTACAATCAAATCAGAGGAAGTCTAATGAACTTTACTCCTGAAGGCTGTATTAATACAACAACACAAAACATGTGCCATAATCATGTTCTCCCTTTTTCTTGCCCTCAGACCAAATGTTTTATTTGTGGCATCGGTAACGATTACTTCGACACGACACCTCACGGATTTGAGACCCACACCTTACAAGAGCACAACTTGGCCAACTACTTGTAAGTATCATCCAGTGTTTTTTCCTCCCGTCTTCTCGCTCTCACAAATATGTTAATCATCACGGCCGTCCCCTCCCGAGCGCGCGTTGCCTCTTTTCTGTAATTTAACCACATGATTGATGGCGTTAGCACGTTACCGCAGCATCGGGGCCAAAGTCGCTAATAGCTGCAGTGATCCAGAACACTAGATCCCTTCAGGTATTCTTTCCATCTGTCGCTGCCTTTTCCCCTGCACTCCCTGCTTATCCAGTGTTTCCGTACGAAGCCAGCAGAAAAAAAAAAGTCTCAGTCCATTTGCTCTCACAGTCAGCTGGCCGGAGGATATGAGAGCGACCTCATTATGTTGCTTCATTACTATTTAATGCCGTGAACTTTATTGGAAAATAGGTTTGCGATGGCGCGCTCTCATACAGTATTCATCATGATTTGGCACGCTGTGACGCCCGCAGAGACACGGCGGCCCGCTGCCATTTACACTTGATTTGGGGAAACGACAGGTGATTCTGTGATAGAGGCGGGGTGGTTGTTTAGACACTCGCGTCAGAAATTGTGAAGCCTCCCGAGAAAACACAGAACGGGACGTTTACACGAAGGTGTTGCAGAAAATCAGATGCGGTGAAGCTTCCCCTTTTTCTCTCTGTTTCATCTGTGATTATGTCTGCAGAATGAAAAGCTTTTTTTTTGTTGCCGTGACATTTGTGTGTTGTCTCATTTGCTTGGCTTCTTTTTAAAGGTTTTTCCTGATGTACCTTATCAACAAGGACGAGACAGAGCACACCGGCCAGGTGGAGTATAATTCTGCACTCGTGTCTTTTCTCTGAGGAATCTTAATCCAATGAAAAACAATGAAATGATGGTTTGTTGCTGTATTAAATCGCAGTCTTTCTTCTATCTACAGACCTGCATATATGTTCAATGGATTATTAGATAAAACATGATTGTATAAAACACACAATCCAACCAGGGTCCTGTAGAAAAATCAATTTAGTTCACATTTATCAGGAAGTGGTGAAGCTGATAATAATAATCAAACACTCCTTTATATTTATTATCTTACTGATGTCTGCTTAGTTTTCTCTTCGTTGCTGCTGACAAAGTTCTGCGATCAAACTCGCCGCTCTGCTTTGTAGCCGTTTTGGCTAACATTAGCACGACAGGCTGACAGGACGAGCTGCTTCAAAGCCTTGAGTCCTGGAAGTCTCCACTCAGAGCTTAAAACAATAACACGATGTGTCTGAATGCTTAGCTCGGAGATTCTGGCAACTCTGTCCACCAGCTGTCTGTCATTTATAATTCAGCTCCACGCTCAACTAGTAGCGAACTGCGTGGAGCTGACTCGCCAATCTGTTATACGAGATGCAAAAAAGGCAGCTCGCTTCTTATTAGGGAGGTTTCTGCTTCTGTGAAACCGTCCTTCACCTAAACGTAAAGACACAGGCATGTGAGGAATAAGAGTATAGTCAGAGGACAGTGTTTGACTGAAAGGTCACCAGTTTAAATTTGCTCCCACAGCTTGTT